TTTGATTGATTTCAAGTGTAATTTGGATGATCAACTATCTCACATTGAGTTGCTTACAACAATAGTTACCACTCTAGCATCTAAATGACTCCTTATGAAGCTCTTTAGGGTACAAATGCAGATCTCTTTTTGGGAGGTTTGAAGTTGGTGACATAGGGTTGATAGGACCTGGGTTAGTTCATCAAGCTATGAAGAAAATGAGAGTCATACAAGATAGACTAGGAACAACACAGAGTCGTTAGAAGTCCTACAATGATGTTCGGAGAGTGGAATTAGAGTTTGAGGTAGATGACTGAGCCACTTGAGAAGTTTCACCCCTGAAGGGTGTTATGAGAGGTTGTAAGAAGGGGAAGCTCCGTCCCCTATGTATTGTTCTTTACAGGATTTCCAAAAGGATTAGCAAGACAACTTATTAATTGGAACTACCACAAGAGTTAGCAGTCATTCATCCGGTGTTTCACATCTGCATGTTGAAGGAACACATGGGAGATACTTCACTTATCATAACAACTGAGGATATTGGTATCCAGGATAATTTATCTCATGAGAAGGTTTTGGGTCAAAATCTAGATCGTCAAGTTCACAAGTTCAGAACAAAGGAAGTAACATCAAGTCAAAGTTTTGTGGAGAAATTAGTTTGTGGATAAGCTACTTGAGAAGCTAAAGAGGACGGGAAGAAGAGATATCGACATCTCTTTGAATCTGGAGAAAATTTCAGACCAATGTACTAATTTTCTTCTTAGTACCCCTTAAATTATGAGTGAGCATGTTGGTTTTTTCCATTTGCTTGTTGGATTTTTGAACTAGATGTTACACCTTTAGCCTGCTAAGAGAAATCTCATCGCGGACAAATGTTCCCAAAGGGGAGATATTATAACATCTCGCAATTTGAAATAACTAGGAAGAAGCTTATAATTGGAAATATTCATTTTTGAAAAGAATTAAAAATCTGGAAATAGTTATTTTTGGAAAGTATAAGAAAATCTAGAAAATTTTAAGTAAGTTAAAGTGAGTGTTTGGTCAACTTCTAACAATCATAACTCATAACTCAGGATGAGTTAAGTGTAGTTCCAGATATGGTTGGAAAGTTCTTAAAACGGTCTGTCAAATGCCTCCAAATTAGCGCGATTTCGAGTTCGTATGAGTGAGTTCTACTCTTTGAAAGTTGAGTTGTTGGATTAAGGAAATGTCCAAATCTGAATTTTGAAAGGGTAGTTTGGTCATTTCCTTATCCAATTGGTTTATTTCATTTTCTAGGTAGTTAATAAGGGTATAAACTGATCTTAGTCAGTTTACACTTTTATCAAAAAGGTTAGGGTTTTGAGAGAAAAGAAAAAAGAGGAGGAAAGAGGAGAAGAAACAAGATTCGCGAAGATCTTTCTAGTTTGATCGTGGATTTTGTCGGGGTGATCTCTACCAGGTGTGTGAGGCTTCCATAAGGTTGGGATTGATCTCCCACGTGCCAAGCATAATATTTTATCTTGGATTCGTCTGACATGTGTTTGAATATTGATGATCTTGATGCTTACTTCTTGAGTTCATATTCTATTCTTGAATTTTCCTTAGTTGGAAGAATCTTAGTTCGTTATGTCATGTTTAAAAGTCGTTTCGAGTTAGGTTCTTCGGTACATTTTCTGGGTATCTGTATTTAAAAAAAAATTATGAAAAAGAATCGAGATCCGGTAAATTAGGGCGGGAAAATAAAGAAGAAAATTTGTCGAATGATATCTGAGCATGGCGGCACGTGGCGCGCTTGATCCCAGAATTAAAATTTTCATCTCCCTGACATGAAGCTGACACGAGGTGTTCTTCCTCAAAAAGATGTTTTTGTAACCAAAATCTAATTATGTCTCCGCGTCGCGAACACACCTCCAAATCTTGTTTTTCAGTCTTTTCTCATGTTTTGGTATCTAAAATCATTCTTAAACAACATGAGATCCTTCCAAAGACAAATCTTAATCCTTCAATCCATAAATCAATTTAAAGATCAATTAAGAGTCAAGTCAAGATTAGTTAAGAGTCAAGTCAAGATCATTTAAGAGTCAAGTTAAGATCAGTTAAGAGTCAAGTCAAGAGTAGCTTGGAACCAAGTCAAGAGAAGTCAAGAGTTAAGTCAAGATAAGTTCTACAATTTTGGGGAAATGAACGAGTAACCCCCTTGACTATGACTGAAATTTCAGAGACATACCTTAATTAAACTAAGATCCTATTACCCCTGAACTTCTTTTTTTTTTTGTAATTTTGTGTACCTTTTTTGGCTTACATGACCTCTAATTATCTCCCACGCGCCTAAATAGTGTGGAATCACGGAGTGTGCCACATAAGACAAAAGGTGCACAAAATTACAAAAAAATTAAGTGCAGGGGGTAATAGGACCTTAGTATAGTTAAGACATGTCTCTGAAATTTCAGTCATAGTCTAGGGGATGGGGGTACTTGTGCATTTTTCCTAAATTTTGAGTGACCCATTTTGATTACTAAATCCATTCAAATATTTCTCGTAAAATTTATCTTTGTTTGGGATAAACTTTCTTATGCAATATTCATTTCTTATTTTAGTTGTCAAGAAAAAGTTGGCTTTTAAAAATATCCTTTCTCCAATGGGTAAATTTGTTGGGAGGGTTCGAAGAAGATACTGTGAATATTATAGTGAATTTTCTTCTTTAAAGTGACTTAAAATATTGTTGAATAGTGAAGAAGAAAAAAAGAAAGTATTGAAGGTTGGAATAATGGTGAACAACAAGGACTAAGAAAGAGAGGGGTGGGGGTGTGCATTTATAAATTAATCGATTGATATAATTAATTTTAAAATATGTTTAAGAAAAAATTGTGAATAAGTAAAAATAAGAGAAAAGACATAAAGTGACACCTGAAGTTGTCCCGAATTTTCGAAAAGACACTCTAACTATGTGGACGTCCTATTACCCCACAAAAGTATTCATTACATTTGTAAAGGGACCATTCCGACACGTATTCTCATCAATCCAAGAATTTTAATAGGCGAGTGACCCTCACCCTCCATTAAATTAGTTAATTTAATTTAAATATTAATAAAGCACAGGTTGTTGCTATGTGGATGTCCTTTTCCGGAAAACGACGACATAAGGGCTTGGGTTGTTGCTTTTTATCTCCGAGCTTGCTTTGATGATTCATGGGATTTCCTTAGAACCTCTTGGGTTGATGATTTTAGTTTCTTGTGAGCTAATTTATCTTCGGTTTTTTTGGAGCACGCTTTCACTTTTGGGATTCAACCATTTTTTGTCGCCATTGCTGCCATTGTTGTTAAAAGTTGAGCTTCGTTGAGTTCTATAAGTTTGGGTTAGTTTGCGGCACTTTTGCAGAATGAAGTAATATACGACATCGATTATTCTCATCATTACAAATACGAATCAAGATTTGCATTTGCTATTATAAAAAATATTTTTCCTCAAAATCTAATTACAAAAGCTAAATTGATTTCTCAAATTTTAAAGAGATGACTAAAATTTAACAAGTTAGAAAGTTCTTCCATTTTTGGGTTTTTTTATTGGAAAGAGAAGATTTTATCTTTAATTTTAATTTTTAACCAACTGGTGTTTTGAATGAATTGGGGAAGATGGCGTATTTTGAGAGAAAGTAATCAAATAATAAAGAAAGAAATGACACATGGCATTTCTTAATTAGTTTTTGGAAGATTTTTTTTTTCAACCACGCGCGTCATCCGTGTGAATACAAACATAGGCAGAAAATTAGTTAAAATGGTGTATTTATAAGGGCATTTAATACTTTTATGGGGTAATAGGACGTCCGCATAGTTAGAGTGTCTTTTTAAAAATTTGTGACAACTTCAGGTGTCACTTTATGTCTTTTCTCTAAAAATAAATAAAAAGTAATGACATGGTATGATGTCACGCTTATATGGCTATGATGTGGCGGGTGAGAGTGATGTTATAGTCTCAGGGTTGAAAAAGAATCACTTCGAAAATATTAAGGAAGACATTTAAAAACTGTGATGCACAAGTACCCCCAACCTATGCCTGAAATCTCAGAGACACTTATACTATATTAAAATCCTATTATCCCCATGAACTTATTTTTTAAATAATTTTTTATCCCTACGTGGCACTATCATATGGGCCAGTGCATGTTGATATTTTTTTCAAGCTAGTGTCACATAGGCTAAAAGGGGTAGAAATTTATTTATAAAATAATTCAGGAGGATAATAGGACCTTAATATAGTATAAGTGTGTCTCTGAGATTTCGAGCATTGGTTGAGAGGTACTAATGCATTTTTCCTAAGTTATCCGACCAAGTTCAGGATAATTTTTATGCATTTTCTCTAAATTATACAACTAACATCTTAAAGTATTTAAAAGACAAAAATATTAGTTGATTTTGAGACAGAGGGAGTAATATTATTATTTGAAAATTAGATATATAATATTATAAATCACAATAATTAACATTTAAAATAATTAAAAACTATATTAAAAAATGGCATCTCTCCTAATTCTATAAGTATCACATAAAATAGATTAAATAGAATAACATATATTGAGTCCATGCTTGTCCAGACAATTGAAATGTAGTATAAAAATATACACTAAATTATCCAAAAAGATTCCTTTATACATCTACACTAAATTGTCCGGAAGATGAAGAGGTAAAAGAGAAGTAAAGAAACCTAGTGTAGATTGTATAAAATATTCGAAGTAATAGAAAGAATTAATCTAGGTATATGCAATAAGGTATTTTAATGTGGTCACGTTGACTCCTTTCTCCCAAAGTAAACCAAACAGAAGGGGCAAGGAATAAAGAAAACATATACTCCCCTTCATTTTAATATATGTTTTTTTCTTTAGAAAATGTGTGACGAGAATACAAATTTAGTGAGAGTCTAATACAGACAGAAATCAAAATAAAAAAAATAAAAAAATAAAAAAATAAAAATAAAGGTATAGTTAATTTTATGGTAGGTGGAAGAAGAATGAGTATAATCAGGAGTAAAGAGAGGAATCGAAGCAATGCCAAACTAAACCTGAGTTGTGAAGTAAATTAAAAAGGCATCCAAAGAATCTACTTGACTTTTGAGAAACATATAAATAGTGTCAATAATTAATAAAGGAAGACAATTATTTTGTAAGTATGGGAGGAGGGAAAATTGTTGGGATATTGATCTTTGTGGTTGTGGTTGTTTCAGCAGCAGGAGGAGGAGGGGAAAATCATCATCATCAGCAGCAGAAATGGTGGAAGTGGATGTCTTCTACTTCTGCAGCAATGGTCAATCCAGTTGTCTCTTCTTCAATTGTCCTACCACTCTATGGCAATGTCTATCCCCTTGGGTATGCAATAACTTTTTGGTATTCACACTTTATTTACATGATCCCGCCCAATAAAGTGTGCGTTTTCTATCTTGTGCAGTTATTACTATGTTCAGCTCAATATAGGGCAGCCTTCAAGGCCTTTTTTTCTTGATCCTGATACTGGCAGTGACCTCACCTGGCTGCAATGTGATGCTCCCTGTGTTCGCTGCACAACCGTAAACTCTTTGTTTACACTCATTTGACTTAACTGTAATTAATGGCTTATTACTATATCAATCTTATGGACTAGTGTTCTATCATTTGATGCAACCTCTATACTTAGTACAAGAGGTCAATTAGGTACCCACTCAATTTCTTCGCTTTTTAGGCAATTAGGGAGGCTACAGACATTAACAAGGCACAATAGGATCATTATGAATGTTAGGATGAATTGAATTAATGGTAGAAAGGACTAGGCTATGAGGAAAGGCAACAAAGAGAGAGAGAGAGAGAGAGAGAGAGAGAGAGAGAGAAGAGTTGGTTTTTCTCTTTCAAAATTCACCATCCATATGTTGGAGTATTATCATGTTTGACAGATTTGGGAATGCCTATTAGTAAAGGTAGAGGGAGGACTGATTTGATCAGCTGTTGATGGGATATCGTTTTGAAATTTCTAGCTTTTGATGATCAAATTTGAACCAGTTTCATATTTATGGGTGACAGTCTCATCCTACTATTTCTATACTTGTAGGCGCCTCATCCATTCTACAAACCAAATAATGACCTCGTACCATGCAAGGACCCTCTCTGTGCCTCCTTGCACCCTGCTGGTTACAAATGTGAAAGTCCAGAACAATGTGACTATCAGGTTGACTATGCCGACGGAGGTTCATCTCTAGGTGTCCTACTTAATGATGTGTTTCACTTCAACATGACCAGTGGTGCTCGGATGATACCTCGTTTGTCTTTAGGGTTAGCAATCTTTATCCTCTCTCTGTATTCTTTCTTTTTATCTTCCTTGTATGAAAAAACATATGCTGTAATATCCTTTTTCCAAGAATTGCATTCAACGTTTGTTAAGACTGTTGTCCTATGCTACTAAATGAGAAATACCTACCTTAAGAAATTGGTTTAAAAGGCAAAAAGAAAAATACTATGTAGTTAGTCAGAAAGAACATATGAGCCTCCATTGACAAAAGATAGAACAGTAAATACAAAAAAAAAAAGGAGAAAACAAACAACTTTTAATAGCTTCACATATATGTAGAAGATTATGATTAATATAGTTGGACATTTAAGAATGAGTCAGTAGAAATATGCATCAGTGTTATGGAATATATCATCTTCCTCCTAATCGACATCATAAACAGAACGTAAAAGAAATATTCTGCAGATACGAAAAATAAATTTTGAAAAAAGAGAAATACCGAGAAAGCTCACACCCCTGTTCACTGTAGTTAATGTTTGGAAGGCCGAATGAACGTCTGATTTGCTGTTTTGAATAGGCAATCCTACATGAAGCCTCAAAATTGTTTTGTCAATTTGAATTCTTAATTGTCTAAAGAAGGTCCTAACAATTCCCTCCTTCACAATACTTGGTAAATGTTGATATAGGTGATTTGTTCCTTGAGCTGATTCTAAAGCTTCCTTGATAGGAGAAATAAGACTATTCTATCGTATCAAAAGGATTTTGTTGTAACTTTATAGGTGTGGATATGATCAGTTACCTGGTCAATCTTATCATCCTTTGGATGGAGTGCTTGGTCTTGGGAGAGGAAAAACCAGCATTGTGTCTCAGCTTCACAGCAAGGGTGCGGTGCAAAATGTGGTAGGTCATTGCTTGAGTGGTAGAGGAGGAGGCTTTCTCTTCTTTGGAGATGAGGTTTATGATTCCTCACGCATAGTCTGGACTCCTATGGCACATGATCGCATGTAATGCACACAAATCCCAACAGCAAATTTTGTCTTTCTAAATTATCCTCTCTCATCGATATCAATATTGCATGACAGGAAGCACTATTCAGCAGGATCTGGAGAACTCATATTTGGGGGAAAAGGCACGGGATTGAAGAATCTTTTTGTAGTCTTTGACAGTGGAAGTTCCTTCAGTTACCTAAACGCACATACATACGAAGGTTTCATTTCGCTAGTAAGTTGTACAATATGTAATTAATTAAGTTTACAGAATCTCATGTGTATTATTGTAACTTATTGTAGCTTCACTTGTATTGACAGTTGAAGAAAGAACTGAATGGGAAGCCACTAAGAGAAACAAAGGATGATTATACACTCCCATTGTGTTGGAAGGGCAGGAGACCTTTCAAAACCATAAATGATGCGAAGAAATACTTTAAGCAGTTTGCACTTAGCTTTGGCAATGGATGGAAATCGAAAGCTCATTTTGAAATTCCCCCTGAATCATATCTTATTATTTCAGTAAGATATTCAACATTCTTTATTTTACATATGGAAAATATATGATGAATATACTAACTTGTTCTGCAGTCAAAGGGCAGTGTCTGCTTGGGAGTTCTTAATGGTACTGAAGCTGGCCTGCAAAATGTCAACCTTATTGGAGGTACGTATGAGATGTAAAAAATAGTTGAATATATTTTAATGGAACATAATCGATTGAATTACCTGTTTCCAGATATATCAATGCAAGATAAAATGGTGATCTATGATAATGAGAAGCAAGCAATAGGTTGGATGTCTGCAAATTGTGACAGACCACCAAAGTCGAGTAACATGATAATGTAATTAAACAAACACTAATTTTTTATGATTCTATTTGTATAAATAAATGGGGAATAATAATAAGAAGCCTCCCCTTTTGTATGTATACTCTCACTCCGAGAAACAAAAATTCTGATGAATAATGGTCTTTTTACACAAGTCTGAAAGCCCATTGTATCAAATCATGTCAACCTTTTTGTAACATTGTTTTGAGATAGAAGAATATATACTAGTGTTGTATTTGGTAAAGAGAGTTAATATATAAACAGGAATATTACCCAACAGAGACTGTTTTGCGTTCTGATCATTTCTAGTTTTCTACCATGAGCTGATCCCATCTGTGTTAAGTCCATCCTATTTTTTGATCAACTTTTGCTATTCAATTGATACAAGTAATTGTTAAAAAGGAGTAGTGATAAGAGTTGAAAATAAAGATTTGATAGTTGGGAAATTCGTAAGATTTGCAAACTCTTTTTGACTTTGCTATATTTACTTATGTCATTAGTGACATATGTATGATTTTCTCCTTCTATAAATAGAGTATTCTTGCTCATTTGTAGAACACACCAAGTTAGAGACAAAAAGCATTTTGAGAGCAAAATGAGGTATTCTATAGAATATAGAAGAAAAATAGTCTGTGAAGAAAAATAGAGTGTGAGCGATATTTTAGTAAGGTGGAAACCAAAAGAGTGTTGTTCCTTTTGAGTGTATAGTAGTCACTTTAAGTATTGTATTCGTAACTACACAGTGTAAAATTCCTTACTATAGTAATATCAGTTGCACCTCTTGATCTGTGTTTTTTTCCTTATTTAGAAGAATTTTCCACGTAAAATTCTTGGTGTCATTATTTTCCCATTTTATTTCCATTACTTTTACCATATATACTTGTGTTTATCCGAGTTTCCCCAACATTCTGTAATGAATGAATAAAAACCTGCAGCGTGTAAATTAAGCACATGATCATCAAACTCATCCAAGTATTATAATGTTCAAATAATGATACTATATGATATCGAAATTGAGGCAACACTAAGGATAAATATGTGTGGCAGAAGCTATCACTTGAAGCTGTGTATATCCACAAAGAGAAGGTCAATGACTAGCTATTTGTTTCCGAGACAAAAAATCAAGTACATAAACAGAGCTTACTCAGTCACCGTGTGATAACACTCAAACTTACTTCTCAAATGAGAAGTAAAGCGGTCGCGTCAAGTAAATAACCCAACTAGTGAGGTTGGGATCGTTCCCACGAGGAAAATAGTCTAGACTTAACTCCAACTTGTATTTACTATTGTTCGGTTGATGACTTTCTTAAAAAGTAAAAGCATAAAAGGGGGGTTTTGTACTTCCTAATAAAATAAAAAATAACTAACGAACTTGACAGAGACACTGAACAGCTTTTAATGTTGAGTTTTAATCAAGTAATCAAAGTAACTAGGGTTTACGTGTTCCCCACAGGTTCATAACTTGATAATTCTAGCTATAACAATTCTTTCCTAGTATCTTGCATGCAAAGTGATAAGTTATGTATTTCTAAATCCTTGGTCCGGCATCTAGAAAATCTCACTCCGCACCTTGGTCCGGCTACGTGTGTTGCTTTCCTAACCCTTATCCTTACCTCATATTAAGCATCATATTCGATATTTGACTCAGTTATTACCTCGTACCAATCAATACTAGCCTATTAGATAGTATACACTAAATCTATGTTAATAATTCTTTTCCTATTATCTACCTCCTTGGTCCGGCAAGTAGCATTAAGGCGAGTTCTAACGTTGATCATCTGTTAAAAAGATTTCTAAGTGAAAGAATTATTAATACATGCAAGACATTATTCTAGAATTGTTATTTTAGCTAGGGTTTATCTCATTATTTGCCTATGGTTCCCACAACCCTAGTTATAGAGTTTAGTTCCTCATATCCATAAACACAATATTCAAATATATTAAACAAGAAGTCATGTACTTACTTTGATGAGAAAGAATAAAGTTTGAAAATTTACTTGATTAATCAACAAGAGTTACTTGTAAGAATCTCCAACAATCAAAAGCTTAGAAAAACAAAGTCTAATAATATGATGTTTTATCTCCAAGAGTCTAACCTCAAAAACGAGGTTTTTCGAACTATTTATAAAAAAATAAAAACCTAATTAAACAAGGATTCTAATTACTGGAAATCTGCCAAAACGCGGCTGGGTCGACGGACCACGCGACGGAACGTCGTGGTCATGACGGACCGTCGTGGGCTCCGTCGCCCCATACTTGGGTGCAATTCTTCTGCTGCTTTCTTCATTCCCCTCGACGGCAAGTGTGACGGACCGTCACAGGCACGACGGTCCGTCGAGGGTCTTCATTACAAAATACTTCAACTTTTGGAATTTGGGTACTGGATCACTTCTCTGATCTTCGCGACGAACCTGCAGGACGGACCGTCATATCCATGACGGACCGTCACAAGCTTCGTAATCCCACACTTTGTCAGACTTCCCCATCTTCCTTCAGCAGCTTCTCTACGCTGCCACCTACGGACCGTCACAAGCACGACGGACCGTCATAAGCTCCGTAGGTGGTCTCTTCTGTATTTTTCGCTCAAAATCTCCGCATTCAGCTTTAGACAGATTTCCTGCAAAACAAAGAAAAACTTATATCAAAATTAGCACAAAAAGGGCTTTCGGACACACTAAACTTAAGGAAAAAGTATTAATTATACCGTGAAACCACGGTATATCAACACCCTCAACTTAAATTCGTTGTTTGTCCTCAAGCGACGCACTATGACTCACTACACAATCTTTGTACAATAGTATCCATGTTTTATCCTTTGCAATCATTTGGCGATCAATCCCGACTAATCCCATCAAATCTATGCATGCTATCACTATTAGGCTTGACTTTTGTGGGATTCGAACATGACACAGACTCACCATGCACTAACGCCTATCCTCTTCAATTGCTCACCGAGGTGCTAACAATTCCGGTATTGCAACTAGTGTCCTCGCTTTAGAACAAAATCCTCATTTTTCACACAATGATTTCAGTTTGAGTATAAGGATTACATTTCAACACTCGCTCTCAGAACAAAGTCACACTCATTCATACCTATTGCCATAAGCTTGCCCTTATTGTCACTGCCTTAAGTTCGCTATACAACCCTTAGGATCACGATAGGACTTTTTTAGCTTGTAACGTAGGCTCAGAGTCAGGTAGGGTATATTTAGGTATACTTTAGTGACTTTTTGCCCTCCTTGACATGTCGGCTAAACCTTCCGCTCTATATCAATTTATCTCGCCCAGTTTCTCCTATTCTTTCACCTTGCTGTTTCCCTTCTTTCTTCATTTGTGTAAGTGACTCGTTTCTTTTCTTGTTTATAATTCTTGAATATTTCTTTTTTTTTTCAACGAGTTCTTGAGTCACTTTACTTTTGTTCTTTCTCTCTCTTTGTTCTTTCAACCCCCACTTTCCAGAGCATTCCTCAAAACAGCCACCCTCAACTTATGGCTTTGCCATGAGTCAAGGTACACAATACCCAAAATCGGGTCAGGGCCATAACGAAGGTAGTTTATACATTAGCCACCCTCAACTTATGCTTTTGGCATAAGCTGAGGTGCACATGTCCAAGGAGGGACCAGGGCCAACATATTGTTCCCAGAAAAGATCAGTTGGGGTGAAAAAGAAAGGTCTAATTTTAAGCTCAAATTCTTTGGATCAACGAAGGATAACTTTCATTTGGTTTCTTTTATTTAGGCTAGAAATGGGCTATATTGAATAAGGGCCTATGATCCTTTCCTAATTGTATGTTACAGCTTACTTTTAGCAGGACTAACCAGGCAAGTTCTAGCTCAGTATCAGTAGTGGACTATTCAACTTTCCTCACACTCACTTGACATCTCATCGCTATACCAGATTATCAGACACCTAGTTCGACTTGAAGGTTTAGGGTGGTGCAATGGTGTAACTCTATTTCGTGTTTAGATCCACACAATTATCAGTTACTACGCCTTTTCATGCAACCTTTTCCAGTTTTATCGGGATATCATTTCAGCCATCATGCTTCAGAGTTAAACTATGTACAAAAGATATAACGTGCCGGTTCAACAGAAAAAGTAATCAGTCTTTTGGGGAAAAAGAACACAGGCAAGAAAACCCCAAAAGAGGATAGTGAGTTGGGCTACTCAGACTTCACCCTAACACTCACTTTCCATTTACCCCACCCCCAACAAAAAAACATGCAATTGTCCCCAATGCATAAAAAAATCTAAAGATTAGAGGGGTAGGTGAAGCAAACCTGTGGCGCATAGCGCCGTCGATCAACAAGCTGGTGGGTCTGGTTTCCCAGAACCCACATCCTCTGCAATCTGGACACCCTCAGTGATGTCCTCAGCAACAACTGCACCCTCAGTAGTGCGTCCTGCTGTCTCTATAGTGCGGGAGCTAGACGCCCCAGCCGCTATCTGTGATGCTCTGATCTGGTGTGCCTCCGCCTCAGCAAGTGAGGCTCTCCCCGCGGCCTCCATCTCTCGGTGCTCCTTCTTTCTTGCTCGCGCCTCATCCTCTGATCGACCCCTCCGCCTCTTGGCACTCTCTCTCGGGGAAGATGGGGGAACGTCTGGAGTAGAAAACAGAGTCGCCAATACAGTATCCTCAGCAGGCTCGACAGACTCTGACACTCTTGTCGCTAGGATCGTGTCGATGTCTGCACGAAGACTGGCGACTGCAGCCTGGAGAGTCGACACATCTACCGGAGGGGCTGGTCGAGCTAATACTCTCAATTCAAAGGCATCGAGGCGCTGGTTAACCTCAGCAATCTTCCGCTGCGTCTGCTTCTCCATACGCGCCTCAGACTCAGCAATAGACTTCTGCATCCACGGCTGGATATGATGCAGAAGAGTGGCCATTTGTGCCTCCAGTTTTTGGACTCGGGCAAGCGGGGCCGGTGTCGGTAGAGGGGCTGTGCTGCTACCCGGGATAGACTCGACCGGGGTAGTGTCCGTGGATGCCGGTGTAGCTGTGCGAGCTTGGGCCACCGTATCCGCAAGGTCATCAGATAGTGGTGGCAGCTCTGGATGGGGCCCTCGACGTGGGGCCAACTCATTGGCCTCGTCTCTGATGAGGCCGACGTCAACGGTACCCGGCGGGGTCCTCAACTGATCTATGTGCCA